CAGGAAAGGCAAATTTCCCTAGAACTAAACTTGAAATTTTATAATTAGAAACTAATCCTACAAATTTACGGTCCTTATTCTCCTCATCTCCCAAACTCCTAACTTAAGCTGTGGTGTTCACTGTCTTCTCCACAGCCTTGGCAATTACCAGCTGTGGCCCAGAGCCAATGCCTTACCTCTTTGAATCTTAGCTTCCTCACCTCTAAAAGGGAATCGTGTTCCTACCTATTTGTGAAAGAGAAGGGAACGGCAACATTTGCAAGCATTAACTGGATGCCTACAAAGCATCAAAAGCTTCATGTACATCCTATCACTGCAATCTCTCAATGACCATATAAAAGCGGTCTCGTAAATCATTTTACAGATGAGCTCTCTGAGATCCAGAAACTGAAGACAGCACTGTCCCATGCTAAAAAGCAGAGAAACTGGAATTCAATTTCATGCTTAGGCAGTATCATGGCATATTTCTACCCATTATCACTTTTTGCTTTCCCTGTTAGACACCTACAAGTTCTTAGCACAAAGTAGGTGCTCAACATATTACTGCCCTCTTCTCCCGTAATTATATTCAGAAAGGTAAAAGTTTACTGAAGTGAAATTAGTATTTTTATATAGTTTCTTTAAGGAAATCATCCTTCTTGATCTACTTTTTCTATTTATCCCATCAAATCCCTGTCGTTAGGTAATTTTTTGCCTATTTTACAATAAGGAACTGGAGGTACCAAGCTGCTCGGGTGACATGACCAGAGTCATATAGAAGTCACCGCCAAATCAAATAAAAACTTTGGTCCTCTTACTTCTAAATCAACCCTCATCCTCTCACATGACAGCCTCCATAATAAAGAACAGATCATTCTTTTTCTTTATCTGGAAAACTACCAAACGTACAATTTAGTAAGGGGCCTCATGACCCTACCACCTTGTCAAAGGGAAGAAAGTATTTTAAAAATGAGGTTTTCAGGAGCAGACGGTTTAGGTCCATCAACTTTCTCTTAGATTACACCCATTAATGAAGATAAAATAAAGTAACAGATCCCCATGCCTTTGGAAATTTTCGTGAAACTCTCTGAGCCTTCAAACTTAAGTACAGTGCCCAAGGGCAATCAGTAACTCCTATGGGGCTATGGAAGTGCACACTATTTCAACCAGAGCCTTTGAGAGAAAGACGTGATCACGACTGGGCCACTCTGAAAAAAATCCAAGTCAGTAATGAGCATTTAGCAGCACACATTCATAGTGTCACGAAGTTTTGGAGGTTCAGAAGGGAACTTGCAGCTGTTAGGAACAACTTCAGCTGGTATTTGAGGAAACTAAGGTTCAGGGAGGGTAAGTGGCTTGTCCAAGATTTCAAAGACAGGACAGCAAGAACTAGAGAATAAACCTTTATTCCACGTGTAACTGTCGCTTCTAATGAGTACACTCCGCACTTTCCAAATTACTCATCTGCAGAGTGCAGGAGAAGATTCCAATCCTGACGATCTTAAGTAAGTCCCTTAATTTCTGCAAATGTCAGTTTTTTTCATCTATCAACTGTGGATCATAGTAAGTCCCTCAAGTAAACTGGAGATAGCACAAAGAAGGGGCCTAAGAGCCCCATGAAGGTAAACATCAGATCTGTACACCTCAGCAGTCTGGCACATACACAATCTCAGAAAATTCACTCAGCATATCAATGAACTCACCAAGCAAACAGGTAGCAGACTTAAAGCCAGGTCTATCTAGTTCTTAAACACTACCGTTATTTTGCTCCTAATTCACATGATACAAGGCAGAGTATTAATTCAGTTTCACAAGTACTGAGAACACAATGGAGCACGACAGCCATTTTCTGGCTGTAAGGTGAGAATAAAATTTCAGTGGGGGGAACCAGCAGTTAGCGTAATGGCTATGTTGCTGGACTCCCACGTAGTCGACCGCGGTTCACGTCCCGGACCTGGTGGCTTAAAACTCACGCCGGGCACGTGTGTGTGCGTACCTAAGATCCCGAGAGGAGAATGGAGGAGAAGGGATTGTGGTGTGACCATCCCTCCTGGGGGGGTGATTTCTCACTTTCTGTCTCTCTGTCTCTCTGTCTCTCTCTGTCTGTCTGGCGAGCGCATGCGCCCTATAGTGGCAAACCTCTCCAAAAAAAAAAAAAAAAAAAGTTCAGAAAGTTCAGTGGGAAAGCTCCTGAACCCTCAGTACTGGAATTAATTCTTGCTCGCAGAGGTGCCTCATGAGGCTGTGGAATCAACTAAACCTGGGTTCAGGTACCAGTTTCTGCATAAGCTATGTGGCCCCAGAGCGACTACTTCTCTGAGCCTAAATATCATCTCTGGGAAAAAACCTACCTTATTCATACAGGGATTGTCTGAGAAATATGGCAACAAATGCAAAGAAACAGACAATGCATGGCACAAAAAGACATTCTGCTGGTATTGCATTTCATTTCTCTTCTAGCTCCGTGGAAACTTCAGTCATTCCTTTCACTTACGTCTTTGCTCATCTTTGCTCACTTCCTTCCCGGCCCTTCCTGTCCATAATAAAACCCCCACATCTCTCCTTCCCCCTACCTTGCTTACTTTCTTCATAGTCTGTATCAACCCCTGACCCAATATTATAAGTGAATTGCTATTTTTAAAATATTATTTTATTTAACTTTATTTATTTATTTAAATTTGACCAAAGAAGGACAGAGCAAGAGAGAGAGGGAGGGAAAGTGAGAAAGCAAGCCACCAGGTCTGGGACTCAAACCGTGGTCAGCCATGTGGGAGTCCAGTGCCCTTAACCACCACGCCACCTGCTGGCCCTGTAACTGCTATTTGTGGTGCCTACTGGAGCATCAGGTAGCCAGGAGGACAGGCGCTTTTTGCTGCTTGTTTTGTTTACCGCTATAGCCCAACAACTGTGTAGTTAGTGCCTAATACTTCCTAATGACAAAATGAATAAATTCAACACTTAATTGGGTTTTGCTGTATGTGAGATACTCTGGAGAAATAGATTTAAATCTTCTGCTATGAAACCTGAGATTGATGTCACACTGGATTGCTACAGTCGCCTGACTGTCCTCCTTGTGTCCACTCTGTCCCCTATATTTCATTTACTAACCTATAGCCAGAGACACTTGAAAATGAACATTGGAGCAGGTCAAATCCCTACTCTGTCACTCCAGTACACTCAGTACTTCCTGTTATAATCAGAATAAAGCCCAGAATCCTTACTATGGCCTATAAAACTTAAATCATCAGCCCCTACTAACCAGTGTGACTTCATCCTCTACCACTCTTCCTTTGGGTTTAGAACACACGGGTTTTTCTCATTCTCAAACATGCCAAAGTCTTATCTCTTCTCCTTTTAAAATTTACTATTTATTTATACAATTAACAATATTTTGTTCTTACACCTAACATTTTTCAACCAGATTTTTTTTGGGGGGAGGGGGAGTTTTGTTTTGTTTTGTTTGGTTTTTTGGGTTTTTTTTGCTATATGGCGCATGCGCTCACCAGAAATACAGAAAGAGACAGAGAGATAGAAAGTGAAAAACCAACCAGGGGGGATGCCCACGCCGCAATCCCTTCTCCTCCATTTTCCCCTCGGGATCTTGGGCACACACACACATGCGCCTGGCATGAGTTTAAGCTACTGAGTCCAGGACTCGAACCGCAGTGGGCTACATGGGACTTCAGCAACATAGCCATTACGCTAACTGCTGGTCCCTCAACTAGATTCTTTTTACTAATGTAAAACCAGCTCTTCAAGGAACATGGGTTAGCACTACAAGTGGCAAGGTCTCTTCTGATCTGGAGTCTCTGTGCTTGTTCATTCTGTTTGGAATGCTCTTCTTCTAGGCTGCTCTTCCTCATTACTTAGCTCTCAGCAAAAACATTACCTCTGGGCCCAGCCACGGCAGTATAATAGGGCACTACTGTGTGAGGCTGGAGCCACGTAGGAGGCTCATATTTAGATCTTGGACCAACCTGAACAGGCCAGGTACAGTGGCACTCACCTGTAACCCTGGCTAACTAGTAGGCTGGAGCAAGGGATCACAGAATGGTAAGACCCTATCAAAAATCTCTCTCTCTGTTCCTGACTTTTGCACTCTCTCTTACTAAAAAGGAAAAAAAGGGGGGGGTGGAAGGCTGGTCATGGTAATATGATACTCTGATGCTGAAGCCACATGGGAGGTCCCAGCTCAGATCCTGAGGGCTCTCGTATTCACGCGTGCAGGCCCGTGGCCCTGGCTGTCTCAGACACGGTCCTGGCTGTCTCGGGCAAAAATTACATATGAACTTGCTAAAGTTATCAATGCTGGCTTATATTATTATGAACAGGACCTATGGATGGAAGAAGATGAAAATAAACACATAGCCATAAAGGTAATTGTTCCTAGCCGGCATCTTCCTGC